ATGCGCGACGACCCCCCACCACCGCAGAGGAGGCGTGCCTTAAAGAAAAAACAGACGAACCAGAAACTAGAACACATAGAAAACGCCCACAAAACCCCACCAAAACACTAAAATACACCCACTTTACCAATCAAACACGATTATTCCCCACCAAAAATCATAAACTACACCCACTTTACCTCCCACTTACGACAAATCCCCACTTTTTTTGACCCCCACCAACAAAAAACACGCCCCCGACCGAGGCCACGCCCCGTGCCTGACACGCCTTGCGTGCCTAAAGTGGTCCAGAACATACATATCTATACTACTAAAAGCGTCTCAAAAAATGTTTTAGAAATCTTGATGCAGTTTTAAAACACCGTTTCTATTTATGTGTGTTTTCAATTTTAGAGAAAATAAGAAACTTCACAAAAATGCAGTGAAATAGGTATAACAGACAGAAAAGTCAAAATCAAAATGAGTAACCTACAAAATTATATAAAAAAACAGTGCTTATTATTTGCTAAGTTGCACCCTCTGCTGTCTCCTTGCGGCAAAAATTCACGACACGCCACGGACACACAAACAACGGTCTCACCCGAGAAGCCAAGAAAAGTCGTCCATGATTCTTTTTACGGTTACAAATTGCTCCAAAAAAAAACGTATCGCTGATGTCTGATGTGTTATAAACAAAGAAGTTAAACTTTAAAACTTGGCGTACTTTGTTCGAAACTTCGTACAATGTGGAGAACTTTTCCAACAGCTTTAGTGCTGATAGTGATCGAGTTGAGAGGTAGTTGAGATATTTCGCTTTTGTTGAATGCAGTTAAACAGGAATGTAAGGAAACGGAGGCGTATGTTATTTTAGACCCGTGGATTCTTGCGCAAAGTTTCCGAAGGAAATGCGAAAAATAACAAAATTCGATCAGAGAAATTTATTTATGACGACAGTGGTAAAAATATCTTGTCACATATCCATTTTGGGACGTGATGTTACCGTGTGACGGTAGTAATGAAGCACAAAACGAATCTGCTGAATTTAAATTAACGCAAATATGTTAATTCCTGGGACAATTCTGTGCATGATAATTTTTGGCTTTGTCTGCAAATTGTGCGCTGGTAATGTTCTGGTCGCAGAGTCTGTATACGACGAGTTCAGGCTTTGGGTCTGAAGAGTTTATCAAGTTTTAGTGGAATCTCGGAATATTTATTTGTGCAGGATGCACTAGACATTTTCTGTTGTGATAACTTGTAAAAAATCTCTTATGTTGAGTGGTACGAGCACGAAAATGGCAGGTAAATATCGATGAAATTCATCTCCTGCCTTTCAACCACGCCGTATATTTTCTAAAGAACTGCTTACTTTATCGGCTTTTGCGTGTGGTGAGTAAAAATGTCATAGGGATAACTATCTTGATAATTCCTTTTTTTTTATTAAATTAACAGGAGAAACTCTCGTAGACGACTTCTATGCAAAAGTACTTTATAATAATTATTATAACGTTTATCCCCACAACATCGAAAACACATAAAGCAAACTAAACTAAACTAACTTTTAGCTTGTCTAGGTAATGCCAAGGTGGTTGGCGAAACGCGTCGGCAAATGTTTTGTGTGTTTTCGGTCTGGTGGGGATCAACGTTATATTATTATAGCGCATTGAGTGATCAAAAAGGTTCCTACGTTATAGTTAATTGCTGAGTATTCTAGTTTTCTAATGTGGAATCAATTTCATATTATAATATGAATGTATCTTGGTGATTTTCATTTTATTATACATAATGTCTCAAAACAAGGGAATAATCAAAATAACTTCAAGGTAAAATATATATCAAAACAGAAATTATTATCAGTCTCAGGTGTATTATATTACTTATGAACATGTACGTTGGAAATCAATACATTTAAACGCTCTATATTTACAGGACGATTCAATACACTTTTTTTAATAGAACACCCTACCTATTTTGAAATATTTTATTTTTGAATTCCGATGCCACTTTGCGAATTTATTCCAGTTTTTTGATTTTTTTAAAAATTCAGATCAAGAAAATTTGCAATTATGTATATATTTTTAATATCTGTGTTCAACATTTAATGAATAGACAGGTATTCGCTTTTTTGTAGTACTCATAAAATGCAATTTTAATATACAGTGTTATAAGAAAATTAATAACAATTTTCAAATATGCTTATCTCCATTTTTACTACCAGAGTGTAAGCTAAGTAAGTATTTTAATAGGGTGCATCTGCCAAATGCCCAATTTCATGTTTTTTTGACGTTTCATGACCCTTAGAGAATGAAAAAATAGGTTTTTCGTCTGTGTGTTGTCTGTCTGTCTGTCTGTGTTGATATTTTTTAAACAGGTAATTTCTGAAACTACTGGATTGATTGTTGTCAAATTATATGCCTAGGTATTTGACTTGTACATTAAACATTATTTAAATTTTTTAAGGAGTTGATTTTGAGCAAATGGAACTCTACAGGCGCGAGTTCGAATAAACTTTCGCAAAATTAAATTTTACAGTTTGTCAAAGAAGCGGAATTTGCTGGACTGTACTTCAGGGAAGACCTGTCTAAATAATCTGAGACAATTTTTTTTAGATATTTATATATTTACTACAATAGCTGTTAGTCGCAGCTCCGCTTGCGTGGATTTTGCACTTAGGGCACTTTATTTTCACCCCCTGTAGGATTAATATTGTTCATCCCCCTGACAGTGAATCCGTCTAACTTCAAAACTCACGGGACTGCCATACAAATTTTATCCCCTATTTTATCCCCTTAGGGGTGGAATTTCCCAAATTCCTTTCTTAGTGGGTGCTTACATTACAAAAGAAACCTACTATCCAAATTTGATGTTTCTAGTTCGAGTAGTATAGATATGGTATCTTTCTGTCGATGTTGTGATGTGTCTGTCAAAAAAAAAAGACTAAAAATTACAAAACTATCAACTTGAAAAAAGAGAACAAAAAATCAGTATCTCAATTATTTAAAAAAATTTCGGAACGCGGTTTTCACCACTGTTTTCACCGTACAAAACTATAAATCTTACGAAAAACTGTGGACTTTTTTTGTTGGAAATGAGATACAGTGAAAGGCAGCTTACGATATATAGAGTTTTGTATGCTAAAAACAGTGGAGAAAACCACGTTCCGAAATTTTCGTATATAATTGAGATATTGATTTTCAAATGTACGTGATGAAAAATTTCACAGAAATTAAAAAAATATGTTGATAGACTTAAAAAAACTGTTCTTGTCTTGTATAGAGAAAAATGTGGATAGGTTCATACCTATAAGTTCATAATGGAGATATAACTTTCTGAAAGTCTATCGACGCTATAAGAGCGAATACTCTCAACAAGTTCCCTTTTCCATATAGATATCATCTTCAAAGTAAAAGTACCAACATTGATCTTGAAATGCGTAGACATTTTAGTCAGTCTTCATTGTTGCGGGTTATTTAAAGTGTACTATTTAGTGCCGTCAATATGATGTTGTCAGAAATCGTTTATTATTATCTAATCCCAGTATTGTTCTATTCTTTTATGCTTAATCGATTTGATTTGCTTTTTCAAACTAATTCAAATTTGTATCTCTTATTTGTTTGTCAGTACCTACTTTTACTCCAGATTTCCCCTACAAGATAAACTCCAGTGCATTGTTTTTATTAAGTTTTAATTTTAATTCAAGTAGAAAAGGATATGAGGAAAAAGTGCGAAGTTATATAAATATGGACATTCCAACGTTCGGGAGTATTGTTCTCCAAAAGAAATAATTTAAGCTTTGAGTATGTATTTAGAGAGAATTTAAATAAGTCATAAATAAGCGATTTATTTTAAGCTGAACCTAACATCTACACAACACAACTCGTAAAAGCTTAAGCCCTATGCGGCCGGGTTTTGATTAGGTTCATAATAACCGCAAATTATTAAGTACGTACTTGGCAAAATCAGTTGAATTAGGTCAAATTTTACAACTTTTGCAGATAATTTTCAGGTCTCTAACTGATGTAATTTTTTTTAATTCCAGAAAAATAATCCATTGTTTACTTTTTAGAATTCAGGAAAATAGCCACATGCGAATAATGAACTCATAACATAATTCAAATTATTCGCCTGAATATTCGCTGGATGCACGTTCATAAAAGAAAAACCCAATATGATTGTGTGCTCCAGCAACATCTGTTGGATTTTCAATAAAATTTGACGTTACAAAAACCGTTGTGTTGAATGTAAAACTGGCCACATCTGCTACGAATTACAATAAGTTGGCGACCGATCAAACGTTCGTTCATTCCTTCGACGTAATTGTGAGAAGCTATGGCAGTTGAAGTGTTTATCCAATTTTACCAATTTCTTCGTTTTTTTTTTAGCAAAAATTTATTGTTCGAATACATATGTTCCTAATGCCTCCAATAACAGTAAATACCAAAGCAAACATTTTACCGCGGCTTATCATCCAAAATTGTTTAACAATTATTGTTACACACTTATCACCACTTTGATAATAGCGAATGTCTACTCCGAACTAATAACCATCAACTATGTAAATAAGTTAAGTTTTAATCATGCAATAACCTCTCTCGCAAACTCCCGATGCCATCATAATTGAACTTTCAGCGTCGATAAAACAATTTACCTCACCCTTCCCAACAATCGGAACTCAGTACGTGTCTGGCAAGATAAAACGGAAATCACGCTAAAAACTTACAGTCCTTTCACAGTCCGATCTCGTTTCCTATTCGTCTGACCAGTGGTGGCGTCAGAATAAACATACTTGTAAAGTTAGATACACTGTGCTTAAAAATTGACTTACGAGGATCTTCACCAGGAGGTTGTTCGAACATTCTCGACCTAAACGACACAAATACACTTTATTAACTTTGGACTAATTTGACCTCAATTGAAATTTTTTTTTACACAGTCAGTACTGAGTTTTGCTTCCTATTCGTTCCCTCTTGTTTCCTGTCCTCCCTTCGACGACGCTCCTGCTGACCGGGATATTTATTTTTTAGATGCGTGTATGGGCCATTACACCGACTTTAACTTCTACAAGGCAGTGGACAGGCTAATAGCCACTCTTCATCAAGCCAACGTCTTCTTTGAAACTTTAAAGCCGTGGGCGCTGAAAAAAGATCCAACCAAAGCAGCCGAGTTGGACGTCGTCTTGCATTTAACTTTAGAAACTCTGCGGGTTTGTGGGATCTTGCTGCAACCTATTATTCCAAATATAGCTGCTTGTTTGTTAAATAAAATCAGCGTGGAGAAAGGGAAGAGGTGTTTTGGTGATGTCAAGACGTTATCGTGGGAGGCCGGAGAGTTCGCCTCGAGGGACCTGGGGAGAGAAAAGGAGGTCCTGTTTCGAAGGATTCTGCTAGAGGGGGAAAGGAAGACGCGACGAGTTTAAGTAGATCGTAGTTTATTGAGTTCTTTTTTTAATTTATGTACAGTAACAATGATTGTAACATCGATAGAGGGTATAAAACATTCATCTATACAATAGAACTCTGGATAGAAAGTTTACATCGAGTTAGGTATTTACAGAGTTGTCTACACATTTTATACAGATATGCGCGCTAAGTTGCGATTTGAATAAACCGCTTCAAGTTGTCATGTTGTTTTATTAAATTAAACCCTGTTTTGAAGTTGCAGGGTGGGCAGTTTTTATCCATTGCTGCAGATAGCAGAAACTTGTAGCGTATGGTTAATGGTACACGAGTGAAGCGAAATTTTTTCTTTAGATGATAAGAATGACCAAATAGGAACCACCTCACCCTGTAGATTGGGGTCCGAACAGTTACAGTGCAGTAGAACCTGGGCTAACTTCACTTTCTAAAGGTGTCAACGCACGATTGGTTTAACTGTCAGATACATTGATCCCATTTCGTCCGACCTACAACTAGAAACCTTAAATGTTCATAGCTCGCCCGTGTAGTAAATGTTAAGGTAAGCATTAAAATTTGTTCTTATTATTTAAAATGATACGTCCAAGAGTGGAATTACTTTGAGAAGAACACATCAATAAAACAACAATAAGCACTAAATGTAAAAGCGTCTGTGAATTTAGTGAGAGGAAACTGTACTGGATTTGGTCTTTTCGTTGTTTATATTTATAGTTTATATGAATATAATGAAGCTTTTAAGGTTAAATTATTCGGATATTTTAATAACTAGAATCTTCATCTAAAAATCATTGTACTGAGCAGAGTTATAGCAGCAGCCATACAATTTTAATCTGTGAAAAATGAGGCTTCTAATTTGTCTAAACGAGTACTTTTTCATTTTTTCATATCAGTACGTTATGCATTTTATGTATTACTGTATCATCCGGTCACCATTTAAAACGAGCATAAACCAGAATATAAGCTTGCAACCTTCGTAAGATTTATTTTGATGATAAAACTTCTGAAAAATAGCATGTTAGACAATAATTTCCGCAAAATGCGGACACGACTATTGTTGACGGTAAAATCGATATCGGCATATGGTAAATTTTAAGACATGGAAACAGGTTTACAGAACATTTTAGTTTCTCTTTCGTTTAAATAATTGCAGCAGTAAAGAAAATAAAATATTATCTCTTGTAATTTTGAGATCTACTAGATGTCGATTTTTTTGGCAAATCTTTTATGACTGCGATGATAGATGTTGATGTGAATACATCGCCAGTTTAATAATAATAAGAGATATAGATCCAAAACGCAAAAACATAAAATATAATAAAATTTATAACCTAACATTTTACACGCACTGTCAGTGTAAATTGCGATGTTGGTGGATATTTAAAATAACATTACCTATGTACTTAGTCAGTCGACAATATGACTAGTGTAATAAAATTCAGATGTAAAACTAATTTAACCAAGCGACGTTAGACCAGGTTACCTGGCAGTTAAGCCGATCGTGCGTGTCCCTCTCAGCAGAACAACTCAACCCCTCCCCCGCACCAAGCAAAGAATAATACCATAGTGCCACAACTGTTTGGAGACTAGAACATTATCACAACCTTATTGAAGTATTGCTAACGAAGACTGAAATTGATATGGCTCGATCACGTGACTAGAAAATCGTCCATTAAGCCATCACCGCCCCACTACACCTAATTATTACGTATTATTAGAACCCACAGCCATTTTGCGAAGATGTGCTTCAAATTAAACCATCGTGTCCTGCAGATGGTCACAGTCCTGTCAAATGGCGCTCACGCCCTCTCCGAAGAAATCCCTCTCCGCTGAATTCACCCTTGTCTGGTGAACGGACTCGGTGCTGAGGTGCTCGCTGGAGAATTCCCCGAACGATCCGTTTCTCCGGGCGTTCACGATGACAGTCTTCGTGCCGTAATCCGTGATGAACTTGTCGTTGGTGTTGAGCGCCACCGATTGGTACCTGTTGAGTTTTAGGAAATTGTTAGTCCAGCTTGACACGAATAGGTTTTTGGTTTTAGAAGTGAGTGGGAATCGCCTAATTTTAGTTTGTGTGTTTATTATTATTTACTTATATTCAAAATAAAGTAACCAATTAGCTGTTTTCTTGAACGACTTTTAATGGTGAAAATGGGAGTTCTACGATCAATTTTATTGTAGGACACAATCTCAGCTATAGTAAAAAAGCATGTACAATGTACATCTTTTAATGAATACATCATTTATTAGTTTCATGTTTGTTAAAAATTTTAGGAGTTTTCTGTCGATTGTAGTTGCTCCCTTTTAAACTAAAAACAAATGATAAACTACACATTACAATATGGAAATTACTAAGTATGCGACTTCCCTATATTAAAAAAAATCGATTTGTTTTCTCTTGAATTTTATTACCCTTAATAATTATAATATTATAACCTTGTAATAAATTCTTTCACTTTACCTTTTTGCAATTTGTCTTTGCGACATGTATTAGTCTATTTTTTTTTACTTTTTACTTCCCGAGCGTAAGCAAAGGAAGTATTGTAATCGAGTCCGTCGGCCGACTCTCTACTTTTACGTTTTCTCGATCTTTCATGACCCCTAGAAGACGAAGAAATAGGTCTCCCATTTCCGTCTGTCTGTCCGTCTGTCCGTCTGTCCGTCCGTCTGTCCGTCTGTCCGTCTGTCCGTCCGTCTGTCCGTCTGTCCGTCCGTCTGTCCGTCTGTCCGTCTGTTGTCCCGGATTTTTATTAGACAGATAATCTCCGAAAGTACTCGACCGATTGTTGTGAAATTTTGTACTTATATTAAGAATATCATGTAGATGGTAAAACGCTAACCAAAATTTGTCTAATCATCCCCACCACTAATGCGATGACGTCACTTCAAAATTGTACATAGTAAATGGGTTTTCAATTGTATAAAATAACATAGTCCTACACATGTAGTTTACAACTCTGAATCGACTTTTCACCCGAAACGTCCAGATTTTTGGAAAAAAAATCAAAATTATAAAACAATATTTTGAAATTTAATTTTTAATCTGCTAACCAGAATGCTTTGAAATGTTGCAGATGTTTTAAGGCTATAAAGAGCATCATAAATCTTTAGTCAAAAAATATTTGCTTATCCCCTCCAAAAACTTGATGACGTCAGCTCAAAAGTTTGTGGAATAAATCATATCTAAAATGTACAAAATATGATGAGTCTGTACTTGTGATCTATCACTCCATTCATATTTTTTGGATTTGCATATACAGGGTGACTCAAAAAAATTAATGAATGCGTAAATATATTTTATTGATTTAATCAGGAACTACAAAACCGAATGCTCTGAAATCTTGCAGATGTTTGAAGGCTATAAAGAGCATCATAAATCTTTAGTCAAAAAATATTTGCTTATCCCCTCCAAAAACTTGATGACGTCAGCTCAAAAGTTTGTGGAATAAATCATATCTAAAATGTACAAAATATGATGAGTCTGTACTTGTGATCTATCACTCCATTCATATTTTTTGGATTTGCATATACAGGGTGACTCAAAAAAATTAATGAATGCGTAAATATATTTTATTGATTTAATCAGGAACTACAAAACCGAATGCTCTGAAATCTTGCAGATGTTTTAAGGTCATAAAGAGCATAATAAATGTTTAGTCAAAATATATTTGCTTATCCCCTCCAAAAACTTGATGACGTCAGCTCGAAAGTTTGCCGAATAAATCATATCTAAAATGTACAAAATATGATGAGCCTGTACTTGTCATTTATCACTCCATTCATATTTTTTGGATTTGCATATACAGAGTGACTCAAAAAAATTAATGAATGCGTAAATTTATTTTACTGATTTACTCAGGAACTACAAAACCGAATGCTTCGAAATCTTGAAGATATTTTAAAATTATCATAAGCATGGTAAATTTTTGATCAAAACGTATTTGGTCGTCCCCCCTAAAAAATTTATGATGTCACCACAAAATTTTGCTGAATAAATCCTATCTAAAATGTACAAAATATGGTGAGTCTCTTCTTGTGATTTATCATTCCATTCAAATTTTTTTGATTTGCATATACAGGGTGACTCAAAAAAATTAATGAATGCGCAAATTTATTTTATTGATTTAATCAGGAACTACAAAACCGAATGCTTTGAAATCTGCTGCGAAAAAAAAAACATAATAGGCATGCAGTCGTCACGTTTCCGACAGCGAGGGAAGTACTGTCTAAACTCTTTAGACCAATTTTTTGTTTTGTTTTACTTTTTTAGAATTGGTGCCTATTATGTATGGTGGATGCAGGTACGCTACAAAAATTACTCAAGGTAGTTTATTAAAATACAAGCAATGTATGTATACTCAGAACGCTATTTTTATGTCCACTAAAATTTTATGACGTGATTATGAGCCGTTGGAGAGTATAATATCAGCTTTAATGACGACTGTAAAATGCCCTGTGCTGGTTAGCCTTCAGTGGAAATCCAGGGACTGTAATTGAGAAAATTGAGGTCCACGGAAACGAAATGGCAAACATAAAATATAAACTTGTTTTAATACACACCTTCTAAATATTTTTTGTGCAGAGAAATATGAATTTTACATGTTTGACGATAGAGTGCAATTTTGTAAGTACGTTCTTGGCACAGGATTCTGTGTGTCCATTTACACAGTTATTATCATTTTTATTTTCACATTATTTTTTGCAAGAAAATTTGTTTGTGAAAAATTTTTTTAAAGACGTTTCTATATAATTTTTTAACTTATTTAAGGCAAATTTTTAGAAAGCATAGGGTTCAATCTAACGGCCAAACTAGTCAAAGTGTGGAAAAAGGTAAGGCGTAATTTTTGTATAAGTATAGAAAAGTAGACGTGGACAAAAGGTCTATTTTTGCGACTTTCGGTATCTTTACTGATCTGTTATTATAAATTCAGAAATTTTAACTTATAGGTAAGGATTTTCCGATACACAGTTTTCAGCTAAAAAAGACAGAGTTTTTTACTTCCCGAACGTAAACTAAGGAAGTTTTGTAATAAGGCCGATCCGACGAAAAGATAGGTCTGGCATTTTCGTCTGTCTGTCTGTACATTACTGTAAAATACTAGACCGTATTTAAATTTTATAAAATAACATATTCCTGTACTTCTGGTTTATGAATCTGCATTGAATCTTTATCCTAGATCTCCAGTTTTTGGAAAAAAAGAGTGCGTCGACCCAGGGATGACCGGGTGGAGTTTTAACTCTGCGTTGTCAATTCATATAAATCAAACACGTATACGCGGCGAAGTCATTAATTTTCTGTTAAAAAATTAAAAACACCAAAAATATGTTGCATTTGTATTTTTGACAAAATGATAATTAATGCCGATGATTGAGTTAATTAAAGTAAATATCCATGTATTGTCAATTGTTGTTTATTATTAAATATACTTTAGAAGATAAATAAACGCACAATTAAAGAGCGACAATTTCAGAGACGTCTATAAGAGTTAACGGCATTGTTTTCGCGTGAAAACGTTTATTAGCTGCTAAACTTATAATCAAATGATGAAAAACACTGTTTACAACAACAGCCTCCTTTATTGTTTTAATTAAGAAAAATCGTACTTGGTCTGTTTCTGTCATTTTGTTAAATTAAGTTTAATTCTGCGTTTATATGTCTTCCTTTTTGCTCATTTGTTCAACATGTGTGTCAATGTTGTCACACTAAGGACGCAACAGAAAAAAAAACATTCCAATTAAAGGGTCCTAATTGAAGCAAGTAAGTAAAGAGTAAAAATAGCAATAAAAGCACAATGGTCTTATATTACACCACTCCTATGATGGTGCTTCCATGACGGGACTGCTGATTAATAAACTAGAAAAAAATCGAAATAAAAAACATCACAACAAAAATCAATAGCAAAACGATTTAACGCATATGAGCGACGGGTTAAAAAGATCCACAAGATGTCATTAGTCATCACCAGACTTCGGAATTGCGGAAGTGATGATCATTGCCGTCCGATCGCCAGCGCTATTGCAGTGGTGGCCTACAATTTCCGGAATTCTTAATAACAATTACTTCTTTTTCTCGGTTTTCGTCAGTTATACGAGTTCTCCTAGATGTTAAAATGCTTTAAAAATTAAAATGACTGTTCAACATCACAATTTTCGTGATGATCTTGATTAGATAAACCCTGATTTGTATCAAACGCCACTGAGTTTGAGACTGCACAGTCGGCCAAATTTAATTTATCCTTCAACGGGCTAAATTTATTAATGTAGATTCTTGATGTGGGCAGATAAAAAAGTTGATAATGACGAGAACCCGTTATACACGTAATCTCCAAAACTACGGGACCGATGGTTGTCAAAGGTAAGTAGAACGGAAAACGCTAGTCAAAATTTGTCTAATCATCCCCACTAGCAGTGAAATGATGTCAAATCAAAATTGTACATAGTAAATGGGTTTTAAGTTCTATAAAATAACATAATCCTACACCGGTAGTTCACGAATTCGTATTGAGTTTATATCCGTGACATCCAGATTTTTGGAAAACAAAATAAAAATTGTATAACAACATTTTGCAATTTAATTTTGAATCTGCAAAACCGAAAGTTTTTAAATCGTGCGCACGTTTTAAGGTTATCATGAGCACGGTAAATTTTTAATCAAAATATATTTGTTTATCCCTTGAAATAACTGATGGCATCATCTCAAAATTTTGCCGAATAAATCCTATCTAAAATGTGCAAAATATGATTAATCTATACTTGTGATTTATCGCTGCATGAATATTTTTTAGAATTGCTTATACAGGGTGACTCAAAAAATTAATGATTAGGTTAACTTATTTTATTGATTAGATCAGGAGCTCCAAAACCGAATGCATGGTGTACTTTAAGCAAAATATATTTGTTTTTTTTTTTCACAATTAATTGACGTCCACACAAAATTTTGTAAACTAAAAAGTCATTTGAAACACATTTCTTTACATTAACTTT